TTCAATCAAAGTTTCAATTACGTAAATCGGGATTATAGTAATTTAAACAAGTTAGTGACCAATAAACGTAAAATAAACATTTAATTGAGTTACATTTACATTTCAAAAATACTTTGCTTTATATTTAACCATGCAAGTTGTGAATACACTCAAAATGATTAAAGTACACATAGGTGACTACCTACAGGTATAACGTACAGAAGTGCTTCTCCTGCACTTTAATGTGCAAAATGTTTTCCAACACGTGTCTGCACCTGTTTCAAAACAAGTCACTATGCTAAATATAGAACGGCGTTTCATTTTCAATGTTGCCGCCCGAAGACATATTAGGCGGTTTTATAAATATACCAGATTTGTCAGTGAATACTTGATGCGTCTAGTTATTTTAGGCTCATGTGCAATGTGTTTACAAATAAATTATTTTTGTATGTTTACTCACAACTACTACTTGCATAAATAAATGGTTCTAGTAATTAATGAGCTTGCAGCTCCGTATATCTGTTTCTGTGATCACAGACGAAATGATATATATTTAATCTGTTTATGAGTCGCTAACATTTTGAACCGGAATATTTCCCAAATGGGTTCCCATCTAGACTATTGGAACGTAACTAAAAGGACCTAATCCATTAAGCATCAGACATGAATGTCTTCTAATGAATTGAGATCGAAATAATCACTGAGTAAGTTGCAGCGTCTCGTTTAGTTGAGAGCTTGTTTGCAAGTTTAGCGGCGCGACTTTACCTTTGATCGACGACATACAGGCTTTGGTTCGAACATGTACGGGCTTTTAGTGAATTACGCTGCAAACATACACCCCACGTATGCTTACCATTATTATCCTTTGCATCTGTGTCCTATAGCTCAGATACAATCAATAGCTTGATACACGTTCTGCCTAATACACACGCTGTATACTTGTAAATCGCGCATTCGTAGGGCATTCTGTTGGCACACATTGAATCTGTTCTCGAAGAAAATATGAAAAGCACAAAATGGAAATACATGCACGAGCCACGTTTTATTTACGCAAAGAATGTATTCGTTAGGATTCACCTGTTAAAGTTATGAAAATATTTTAAAATCCTACGCACCAACAGCAACGAGTTAATTGAAAGTGGTACCTACTAGCCACCAGCCCCCAGCAACCGGTAACGTAACAAATATAAAATCCGGTCTGCGGTTTGATTAAAAATACAGGATTACAAATTTTAGGGTTCAGTTGAGCTCTATGAAAAAATAAATTAAGTTGAGTTGATCCGCTGTGATATTGGTACATATTTCGTTACGGGAATCGGCTTTTTTGAGTAATGTGTATTGAAATATGTGTGTAATTAAAATATTCGCTTTGGCTTGAATTGATAAAATAGTTAAACAAATCCAAGATGTATAAATAAGGAAGAAGAACTGATATGTCCAAAGTTTGAATAACTAAATAGCCATGGGAAAAGTTGTGAAACGAGAGTCCACGTAGATATAGAAGCTTGCAAGGGATACGCAGATTTTTATCCGACTTCTAGTTCGCATCAAGTATTGTGTTCGTATGATTCGTTCTAAGAAAGTACTGGCAGTGCAGTACAAGGTTTTCTATTGTAAAATAACCCCGCCTGCTTTTACAGAAAAACTTCTAAATATATATTGGATGGCCTGGTTACTGTTATGTTTGAATTTTATAATCATTCTTAATGCGTAAAATGTTGTAACATCGTAGTCCATTTATCGAAAGCGCCGCGCGTGGATTTCGGGAAATGTAATATAAAGATTTTAAAACGAGACACGGGCAAACTATTCGTGGCGTATCGTGGCAGGACATGTCCCTACAATGACGGAATAAAATACGACAGCAGCAGCCGTGTTTATGCACAGTCGCCATACGGTGGACGGGCTGTATGCAAAATGTACCACATTTATTCCCGTCACTCAGCCGCTTTGCTCGCACGCGGTTGGCGTAGTGTGAACCGGCCCTAATCTGCAATATTCGCTTCTGAATATCGTCTTTTATTCCACTTGTGTATTCATATTCAATAGCTCTCTGTGACTGTTACATATTATGTGTATGTTACGGATTATGTAAGAGAAGTACTCAGTTATGTTTTAGTAAGAAATTGAATTAAAGCCATTATTTAACTCAAGACAATTTCTTAAGGTTCAACCTCAAAGCGTTACTAATACAATTTTAATTATTAAAACAACTATTATTTGTAATTAATCTTAGAAGACTGATCAAAACCTAAGTGGACATGTCATGTTGCCCCGAATTTGTTGTACGTACCTACAAGCAAGTTTTCAAGAATAGCTTTCATTAGACAGAGACTGATTGATTTAGGTTAACATTATTTTGGTCTAAAGTTATTTGGGACACCGTGTTGTAAATAGTCTAGCTTTCTATTTGTTTTTTGCATTACAATAACATGTTTTCTAGAAATATGTGCTACTAGAATTTTATAATTATTTTTGTGAACTATTTGTACACCTAAGCATGTATGTTGTTGTATAATAATATACGCCTAAAAACGTGTGTATTGGTCGTTCTTACTTAAGTAATTTAAAATAAATACCAAACTTAATTTATGCCAAGTATCTAAAGATATTCTAAAGACTAAATATTCCTAGATCCTAATGCAGTCTACGCTATAGCATAAGATCCCATACTTCGCATGTATCCGTGAAAGAATGTACGTATCTAGGAATGCTTCCAATACTTAGTTCAATCCGTCAGATGGAGCGTATCAAATTCTCAAAGGCAAATATCAGATTTTCCACGTCTATATTCGCACCTATGCACCTTTGCGATAAGAAATGCGTAAAATAACTGCAAGTATTGGATTTCTACAGAAAGTCTTCGTACCTTTCAAAGATATGAAATACCCTTTGAAGATATTGATCAAATAGCTTACTGACTATTTTGTATTTTGTTGTAGGTACGAGTTACATTATTTATTGAGAATTGTCGTTCAATGAAAAGGATTATACATTATACAGTCGGTATACATCTTATTTCCTATAGGAAATGTATAAGGATGTATGTGTGTGTTTGTTACTCTTTCATGTTAAAGATAAAATTCATGTTAAAATTTCATGTGAAAAAATTTGGAACAAGCGTAGATTGGAGGAGGCCTTTGTCGACTGGCAAACAGATCTTGAAATGGTAACCAAGGAACTGGTATTAGTTTAAGTAGTTTTAGTGCAAGTTGTTTGTAGTTTTAGATGTAAAATTGTAAACATTTAAGATCTGAATAAAAGGCTAAATTATAAAATTATTAGATTAACGCGTGCGAAACTACTCGCAGAAGCGTCTTGAAACGAGAACATATACAAATTTTATTACTGTTCATAATAAAGTAAATAATTACATTAAACAAGTAATTTTTTTCAAAGTTCTGTCGTTGAATTATGCCGATCTTCTGTATAACATTTACCAAAGTCAGCCTGTAGTTGTGTAACCATTATTTTCTTTTCAATAGTCTATAATAAAATCAATTATCTTTGCAAACAAAATATTTAATAAAATATTATCACGCCTACAGCTTCATATTGGAACTCGTTAGCTTTAGCTTCGAGTACTTAATCACTTAGCGAAATGGCGTCTGTCAATAATGTACTAAAAGCATCGCGATACACGAATGGAGAGTATTAACGTTTTCCTGTTCTCACTTAATTGATATTAACATAGTACACGATTATATGTTATATGTAATGCACTCAACTGAAAACTGTTAAAATCATACCAATTAAGACCGTAAAGGCTTGTGCATAGATCTCTATTTTTCGTATCGATCTTTTGTTTTAAAATTGATGGTGTGAATTGATTCGATTGATTCTCTTTTACAAATACTGGCTAGTTAGTAAGCTGTCAGATAGCGTACATAGTTATGGAATTATAGGTACTTCTTAAATGAACGTAACATCATAACACCAACGTCTATCTGCCTGCAAGTTATTTTTGTGTAAATTATATTAATATTTTGCTGTTTTGAACGTGTATATATTTTAACCTTATTTTTATACTGCGATAAGACACAGTGTCAACGACAGTCGTCGTTGTGAACCTACCCTAAGTGTGTTCAACAATGCAGTTAATTATCAATTAGCTGTATCATTTTTGTATTTTAATGGATCGTGATGTTAATAAAGTAATTTCGTTTTGTACATTAAATTACTAATATTTTCCATTTTATATCCATGCAAAGCATTGACATAATATTTTGCACGTAGGTTCTTGTTATATGGCGATTATGAAGAAAACTCCAAAGTTTAAGAATTCATAGGGATGGCGTATTCATGTAGATTAAACTCCAAATTAAATAAAAGGAAATAGTAAAAAAAAATCATCATTTTCTGATGTTTAACCAAGATGCATCACTATTGGAATTTGCCGTCTAAAACATACTACTATAGTCAGTTAAGTTTTGGCAGCAACAATTACATGATTAACGGGACCTTACGTCTCATTACCGCCTGGTTAATAGTACAAAAATGGCTACCTTTATTATCGTATCGATGTCTTAGATATTTTTACTCAGTATGTTAATGACGCAATAATTAATGTTGGCAAATTGAAAACTTATTTAAGCATCAAATAAGTCTAATTCCAGACAGAATAGAAGGTATAATCCAATTACAGGTTTTGTGATATACTCTTTGGTTTTCAAAGCAAATGTTTATCAAGAATTTCTTTGAAAAGAAAATGAAAACTAATTCGGATATCTTTTCTCGGTAGTGGTCCATAATCTTGTGTTTAATCTGCAGATAATTGGTTTCTTGGTAGGCGAATAGAGTCGTAGTTTATGTCAGTATAGTTTTCTAACTTCGTCGAATCCCAAGTAATGGAAAAAATTAGCATTTTGTAAGTCTACATACCTCATACTGAACTTTAAACGTAGTTCATAACTATTTATAAGTTACTGAGTGATTGCCACGCCCTTAATATGGCTTACAATTTAGATCGGTATGCAACGACCATAAAACTGGACAGAGTACCACAGTAAATTTTTACTTACATCTTCAGACAGTTCCTCGGTGTCAAATGCAGAGGACAGGGGCCTGCCTCTCTGTACCCTCGCACCCCTAGAGTCAAACAGGTCGTCGACTGGAGCTTCCACGTCATCCAAAGCGCTCTTTATACGGTTCTCGACATCAGCCCGGATACGGTCACGGTCCGGTTCAGAAGCCCGTGGTACGGGTGTCTTGCCGTCCAACCGGTCCAACACTGGACGGTAATAGCTCTCGCCTTTGTCGAAGTTGCAATCGTAGACGCGTGTGCGTCGGGTCCGGCCTAAACGACTCATCTTGTTCTTGTGTCCTGTGAAAAATTGAAAAATTATGTTAGCTTTAGGTATGTATTTGAAATTAACTCTGAATGAAACAACGAAATATGGTGTTAACTAGACAAAGTATATTATTAATATTATTTTTTCAACTCCCAACCAATTTTCACAGTTCGCCACGTCAACCTGTATATGTATTTCTTCCACCTCACGTTTTTACCTGCTATTGACACCGAAACAATAACAGCACTTATCAGTCTTGCGACGTAAACATTACTCGCCTCCATCGACTGTTTACAAAATAAGAAACTTCAGGGGGTTTTTCCAATCATAGCTGCAGCATGAACTTTCACTGCTTAGGTTTCACCGTCTGCGCTTTGTGGTGGAGATGTGATGAAGCCACATCAAACAGGTTTTGTTGTAAGTAGAGTGCCATTTGAATATCATATTTCCAGTTAAATGGAGGATGCTTATTCAATATGAGTTTATTGTGCTAAAGTTAGGTCTAGCCTGATATTGTTCGTTCTCCCGACAATTTGTCGGCTTCACTACACATTATTCAAGTGTACGGTTTGTTAGAAATAGATTCTGTATAACTTTTGAACTTTTTTTTATTGACGACGTTTGACATTAATGTTGTGAACGTTTTTCTAATATCTTAAAACCATTGACGTCGGTAATGTGGGAAACATCAGTTTTAAATAATTGACCAATTGATATTGGTTTGTTAATATATCAGCAGTACGTGTACCGTATAAGTTTACACTTCGTGTACTCATGGTTTAACTTCAGAAATACGCGGACCACATCAGTATTGCAGCTATTGAAGTTTACAAATTTAACTACGTCTATCTCGGAATACACACAGATATTGCCGAAACCGCTAGATTCAAAACTGTAACCGCTGACTCTGACTTAGAATATTGTTGCATTGTCAATCAATTTGTGGCGTACGTAGTTTGCTAGTGCACATCCCAACTTTATCTCAGTAACAAAACAACTATTATTGATTGATTTGAGATATCCACGACTGAGCATTCACTGCCAAATTATGTTTGATTCTATGTTTCATTTGAGTGTTATATTCAATTTGAATTCGTGTTAACTTTGGTCTTCCAGGTGTCCATTGACGACACCGATTGCTTACCATTAGGTGGTCCGTCTGCATGTTTACCGGTTTATCCCATAAAAAAGGTACACGTTTTACATTTTAAAGTAGGAATTAAAAAAATAAATACTGTTTTCTTTATAAATACTAGTCACATTTTTGCTCTGAGCATCCGCTGAGCAGTTACCTAGATAGCATATTCTGGGAACAATTGGCTCACCGATTCATTCATATCAGTATTGTGTAGTCACTGAGCTATGAAGGTCAGATTTCAGTCGCCTCGTGTCCGTAACAGAATATAATTTAATAAAAGGTAATATTAACTTTAAAGCCGTAAGCAATATCCCCTAGATTTTAACTTTAAGATCTCACATAAAATCGAAGTTGAGACATTTTTTTAATTAGACCAACATTGGAACTTTAAAAAAAACCAAACTAAACTAAATGTCAAATTTAATAAATAATAAATTACATTGTCTAAAATAGTTGTCTACCAACAATTGAGAGCTGAGACATAAATCCGAAAGAAAGAAACAATAAGAGCCAACAAAGATTGGATGCGTAATGTCAGCTTATTCATTCATTCATTATTTATGTAGCCTATGACATTAGCGATATAAAGCAATTATGATACTTGGTATTATGATTTTACAGTCGACTTTTATTAAAACTAGGATGATTGTTGTTAAGTCGTTTTTGTGTCGATTTATGGGCATCTAAAAGCTTTGCCTTCTCAGCTAATGAATGAGACGAGACATAGACATTCGATAATATATAATAATGAAATTCTGACGTTGAGACATTCTTTACTTCGATACTTGTTTCACGGGCAGTCGAAGCTTTTGTTGATCTTATAATTATGACGTCTTTAGTCCATTACAGGTTACTATTTTTAGATTATGAAATGGATGGAAAAATTGCGTCGCCACTGAATGAAGCCTTGGACTTGTTTATAACTGAGTGAAGGTAAGGACGGCTGCTTTTTAACGCGCTTTTATTATTATAAACTCAGAACTTCTATTTCTATGCGACTGAGATGTATTGTATCGAGGAAATGTTGAAAAGTAGGGAGTTATTTTCAGTTTTTAATGGGATCTACTAAATTACAATTTATTTATTCAATGTACTGAATTAACATTACATATCAAAATATCGTTTAGTATCAGATTATAAATCACATACATAATATCACGCCTTTTATCCCCGAAGGGGCAGGCAGAGGTGTACATTACGGTACTTAATATCACTGTACAATGTAACACCCACTTTTCATTATTTATGTTATGATTCTCTTATAATTGAGGGTGAATCTATTGCCATATACCAGCCACAATTTCAGACTTCGTGCTACTGAGAATTTTATAAAAAAAACCCATTACCTTGTCTGACCCGGGAATCGAACCTGAGACCCCTTGCCTGGCAGTCGCACTTGCGAACTTACGAACATATATATATCAGAGCATTTAAAGTCACTAAACATAACCTATATCACTTTCAGATTCAGATCGTTAGTAAAATTCTATAGTCAGTCTTGGAATCGTGGCCTGTGTTGTATCAGACTCTTGATTATAATAATGCAAGCGAATTCAAAGACGTTGCTTGAGTACCGGAGTTTGCTATACGAGTGTCGACCTTATGTAAATGAAAATTATGTGAATGTGGACACGTACTATATCTCAGCCTTTGTCTTTATCGTTAAAGAATATTGGACTTTATTATATACTAAACTTCAATGCTAAGCAATTTTTTCGTTTATTTAAAATATGTCGGGCAACTGGTCTCAGGTTCGAGAAAAGGATTAATGGGTTTTAAAAAAAATTCTCAGTAGTACCATGGAGTCTGGAATTGTGCCCGGTATATGGCAATAGGCTCACCCCCTATTACATGGGACTCATAACATAAATAGTGAAAAGTGGGTGTTACATTGTACAGTGGCATAATGTGCACTTCTGCCTACCCCTTCGGAGCTAAAAGGCGTGATGTTATACATATATGTTAAATTATGTGTTCGGTAATCGGTAAGTACAGGTACAATAAATAAGTAGTAAAAAAAATTGGTTGCCTGTAAAGTCAGTATACGGGCGAAAGTTTTACGTGACAACGATGTCTGTCTCTCTCGCTCTTAGGCGGGTTAACCATGCCCGAGTGGAAGGGACGCGTGCCTCTCACTCGCTCTCATTGTGAGCGCATAACGTGAGCGGAGCGTAACGCAGTTTCTTGAAGTGTCACCCGGCAAACCAATTTATGATTTATAAGACGTTGTCAAAAATGTACTAAAACGAATTACAAATAAATGTAACAATCACATAAGGAGGTACTCAATTCAACCATGTACGATTCACGTAGCAGGAGTTTCAAATCCATTGCATACAGTATGTCCTTATTATGAGTGATTTGTAGCTCTTCGTGTTATTAGTGGAATCTTGCCCCAGGCAGGCAATTAACATAACATCCATTAATGAACGCGAATACGTTTCGAATATATACTGAACATGTTTAGGGATTATAGATTCATTATGCGAATGTATGTATAATATATCTCGCCGTAGAGATAATAGCTGTAGAAGAGAAAAAGAAAGAAAGAAAGAAAAAGAATAAAATAACGTACGTAACTTATTGTATTCATTGTCCTTAATGCAATATAGTAATTTGAATTGTATTGTACGATTCATTTCTATTCATGTGGGTTTTCGTGGATAATTCGAGAATCGCGTATAAAATATTAATCAATATTCAGCCCTTTTAAATCTATTGTACACTCAAACAAAATGAAATATGGCAGCCACAGCTAAGCTTTAATCAGCGAACATTGTAGAATAAAACTAACATTAAGGTTAAGAAAGAGCCAATTAATATTACGCCATGAAATACGGACGAATGTCGAGCATATGGCAGACATTTGTAAACTAGTAATAATAAATGTACTAGCGGATAGACAGTCACTCGTAGTTACTCGAGTTTACATTACGTACCTACTTATATAAGGAAAAAACACTAGACGGCATTAATGATTCTAAAAACAATACTGTTCTATCTAAGAGCACTTCATCGATATTTTCACTCATAAAGAATATTGTTAAAAGCTCTTGATATAAGAAAAATAAATATTTTTTAGAATAAAACGGGAAAAAGCAAGTTTAAGTGTACTTCAAATATGTATACTTAATTGGAGGATTTTATTGGAACATATTATTACGAAATTGTAACAATTTTTATAATAATAGTCCTAATTTATCAAGCAGGCTTACTCAGAGGTCTTAAGGAATTCAAAGACCGTGTTTGCTCTTTTATGAAAATCCGCACACTCTATTGTACAGATATCAATTATTTTGCTTCCCAAGTGTATTTTGTATGTATAGGTATGAAGATAATCCTCATTACACATTAAATCGTAATGAACACCATTCCACTACAGTTTTAAACCTTCGAGTTATTTCCCCTGTCGTTGATTCTGAATTATTTTTGTTTTGTAACCGGTCCGTGTCCCAACTGAATATTCACGCGCCTCGTTTGTTTGTAAAACTATAAAAATCTCTGCTTGTATATTTTATGGACAAACGTCAGACATCAAACACGCTGGAAAACAACATGTCGTAATAATTAAAATCACGTAAGGCACAGCCGCGGGGGCAACAATACGTAATATCCTGTTGTCCACGTTAAACCATTTTATGCTCACTAACGAAAATAGAGACTGAATCTTTTAATTTGACAAGATTAATGTTCAACCGATATATTTTGATGTTATCATACGTAAATCCAGATTCTTGGCAAAGAAATATGTATAAAAACTCAACGAGCTTTTCACTTCAATGAATTTTTATACAAACATAATATAAATGTTTACTACAGAAACACGGATGTCTACGGATGCATAATCAATAAATTATGTAATGGTAATCGGCGGTGACCGGAGAGGTATTTGTTTCATCTATCATCCCCTCCTGATGGATTACCCTCCCTGAACAACGACGCGTGCGTCGAACAGTGAAACAAATTCAAAATAGAATTCGCAAACATTCGATATCGGGATATTTTTAGTATCAAAAACCGGGTTTTAGTCGGAGACGAGGTATTGTAATATGCACTCGTTGAACGCTGAACGTCTAAAAATAATCACGCAATAGGAATTCGAACGCAGATTACCGGTAACCAATCCAAGATTAAAATTTGGAAATGAAATAATAGAAAGCACATCGTTGTCACATATAAAACACTCAGCAGATCCAATTACAAATATTGCACAGCAAATAAAATATGAATAAGAAAAAAATTCGCTGATGGTGCATTGAAAGTGAATCTTAGAACGTGTACTAACCTGGAGCGTGTATAGGCGGCGAGAAGGAAGATGGGACTGGGCAGTCGGGCAGCGACGGTGCGGCGCGTGAGCAGCGTGGGCGAGACTATGTTTAACCGTGAGCCACACAGAAATAATACTGACTTTTGTTCCGAATGATTTCCTTGTCGGAAAACAGCCGACACAAACGGAGGAAGCCGAACGAACCGCGGATTTCCGAGGATGTGTAATGCAGCTCGCACGTTTGGCACTTATATTGTCCACACATTCCAAATATACAGTGTGAACAAATACTGCAATGGTTCTATAAAAGGCATTCCGACTGACTGTCTATAAATACTCAAATTACAAATAGTAAATGATCAAAATGTATTTATGATGCATAAGGTAGGTAAATAGAAGTTGGTGACTATGTATAATAAACAGTTTTAGTTCTTACAGATACTCTCATCTGGCGTCAGGTATGTTTTATGTTAGGCTTTTGTTTCAGATGTGCGCATCCAATATTTTACGTCTTTCATCAGGTCGTAAAAACAAACTTATCGGCTTGCGCATAAATTTTATTCCCGATTGATCCAATCGAAATCGTATTTTTCGCATTCCAGCCACAACGAGTTTGAACAAAATGTTCATTTTCGATTCATCTTTATTAACACTGAAAGCAAAAAATATGGCATCCCTTTGAATAGTTAAGTGTTCAGTGATTTTGTATTTACACAACATTTTGTCTGAGTTTGGTTGGCAATATTCTCTAAAGCTTATGCTTCAAACCATCAAAGAAACTCTTTATCTTGCGACCTACTTGTTGAATTCACTTAGCACGCATCAGTAGGTCAGAGTGCTAATTCACTCAACTAACCAACTCAGCTGTCTAATATAATGGTTAAAGCCGAAGATTAAATCGTTTTCGTAACTGTCAGTCGATAAGGGAAGAAATCCCGTCTTACTCTGCCGATAATTGAATCAAGCCTACGTCTTGACCTTTAAAGCTATTTGCTGTTGCGGCTGCAAATCTTCTGCAGTAATAGAAATTGAATAAATCTTTTTTCATCCTTTATTAGCAATGTTTTCACTTCCATCTCATAATTGAGGTAGAGCTACAAATATACCTACACAAAATACTCTAATTTCCCAATACGAAACCGCGTAATTCCATTATGAGTATAGTGTGGAAGAGCCTTGTCTCGGCACGAACGGGCCCGCTCGACTGGAGTGATACCACGGCCTCAGAAAACGATAACACGACGTGAAGCAACGCTTGTGTTGTGTTTCGTCGTAAGAGTGAGGTTGCCGGAGGCCCAATTACTCCCCTCCTCTCCCCAATATTCTCAATCCCTGAATCCCATCAATTTCTTTAAATTCCTAATCACCAAAAGGTCGGTACCGCACTTGTAACGCCTGTGGTGTTCCGGGTCGGATATTAAACTAAAACTTCCATGGGCGACGCCGATTGTTTACCATGGTGATCCATCTGCTCGTTTAACCCATTAAAAAAGAGAATAGTGAACGAGGTGTGAGGCGTGTAGGTTGGCAGCGTACTTGTAATTACCCTGGTATTGCGGGTGTTCATCCATTCCCTTCTATCCGTTTACTCGTTTGCTCCCAATCCTATTAAACGAATGTGGACATACTAGGCGTATCCATTTCACCATTAGAAAACGCGTTATCCAAATAGTAACAGAATTGGGTAGGTAATGTCAGTGCATGTGAATTAGTGATAGTGGCTGTAGTAGGATTTGAGCTAGCCCTGTCATACCCAATGAGGATCAGAATGACAAATACGTTACCTATTTGCTAATGGGTAGCGGATGCTCTTGGGATTTGGCAAATTGTTATTGAATTCTAGTCAGGAATTTTGTTTCAAATAACATTTCTAATACAAGTCAGAGAATACATTATAATGATAACGAGGATGATGTCATACCAGTAGACGTATCTATAATTACAAGAACACGTGAGACTTTTATCCCTTTTTGTGACGTACGAGTTTATAGCGCGCACGAATTACTGTGAGATTAGTTTGTAAGGAGAAGCGTAAAAATAAAAATGTATTTAACGAAAATGAACTATCCTATTGTGATAACAAAAAAAGTAGTAACTTTTTGGCTAAATTACAAATTAGTGGTGTTGTGTTCATACAACTGGGGGTAGGCAGATACTATGTAACGCCAGTTACTACGATTCTTACATAACTATTTCGCTTCATCAACAGTCATCAGTATTGTGTTCAGCTAGAAACACACAGCCATTTGTATGAATGAATACTCCATAGCAGATAAGCAATATGGCGTCTAATTTCAAGGATTGTTAGTTCAGGATCAGGGTACGCACAGGGCAGAAACAGGTATAGACAAATGATCGTAATACAATGCCGCGTCACTTGGCAGCCGATTTCAATGCCGCCGCGTCTGCCTTATTGTTTCTCGGATAATACTCCATTTCCAATGCGATTTACGATACGGCATGAATTACTCTTTTCTTTCTCATACCCATCTCACAACTGTAACAGTGTTCTAACTTTGTTTGATTAAAAATGTTTGTCAGTATTTTCTGTTATCGTTTTTCGAGTAACAAGTATATATGTTTACGGATATGACTGGTCATCAAGAGTTCATCCATTCTCAAAACTCAGTTGTGAGCCTTTAATAATCTTATTTGGTCCCCAAGATAGATCAAACTTATTTTGTACCTACTGTTTTTTAAAATAAATAACACTACTGGTACTACTTAAATTGCTGACGCCATTAATGTCATCCACTAAGGATTCCTCGTCCAGAATAAGAAAGAGTTAAACTTGAAATAGGTTTCACTTGGTTTATTTTACAAAGATTTATAATAATTAGAGGTCTGAACAATCAGACGGTTGAATTAATAACAAAAAGGTCCAGAACAAAGTGTGGGACGGTATTTATATTCTGGCGAGTAATATTTTTGACAATTTCTAGTGTGGATATTAAATTATTTTAATTAGTACATTTACATCGTAATTGACCAAACATTAAACAATTAATGATTTATAAGCGAATTTAACGTAAAAAACATTTAAAATATTGATTCATCATCATCATCAACAACCCATATAGGCCCACTGCTGAGCAAAGCCTCTTCTCACATGGAGAAGGCTTGAGCATTAATCACCACGCTTGCTCAATGCGGGTTGGTGATCACAAAGTTGTAATTAGAAATTATAAGGCCAGGTTTCCTCACGATATTTTCCTTCACCGTTTGTCAGTGATGTCTAAATAATCTTAGAAAGTACATATAACTCGGAAAAAGTCACATTGGTACTTGCCGTTGGTAGGTTCCAAAACCGCGCCCTCATGCATGAGAAGCGGGAGTCTTAAACCTCCAGGCCACAACAACATATTATATATAATATTGATTATTACATTTTTAACATTCAATCATTCGTTCATTTGCATTCTTTCATAAATAAATTTGTTAAAAAGTTTTATTTCACCCTAAAGGCCTAGAGGTGTCTATGGCGGTGATATGTTTTACCATCAAGTGATCCGTCTACATGAAAAAACAAAAGACAGTCTCGTTGGCCGAGTGGTTGCAAGTGCGTGCCGGGCATGGGGTCTCGGGTTCAATTCCCGGGTCGGGCAAAGTACTACTGGGTTTTAAAAAAATTCTCAGTAGTGGCACGGAGTCTGGAATTTTGCCCGGTTTATGGCAATAGGTTCACCCCCTATTACATGGGACCATAACATAAATAGTGAAAAGTGGGTGTTACATTGTATATTGTGCACCTCTGCCTACCGCTTCGGGGATAAAAGGCGTGATGTTATGTTGATCCGTCTACATGAAAATACAAAAAAGGTCAGCTATATCAGGTTATGCGTAATACTACAAAGTTCGGAAAATATTCATGACGCACCATGAACCGATAACGGTATTAAGAGTTCTACATTTTTACCCCACTAATTAGTTTAGTACCCACCGCCGTACCTGATGGAGTTACGGCTATGAGGTGGACATGGACGCTAATTGAATTCCCGTATTTAGCCTCAGGCACTACAGCCAGGAAACCACATTAGTTTGACGAATTTTAGTTTTCACTTCCTGGTATGGGATTTTATAGGCGAGTACCCGAAACCAGGCCGTTCGTTCACACAACATTTTCAAACATTATTTACTTCAAAATGGTTTGCATTAACGGCATTAGTTTATAATTGTTCGATGTACATTTAACAATTTTTCTTTTGTGCCTGTTTGATGATTAGAATTTAGTTTAGACTAGCTGTTGCCCGCGACTTTGTTCACGTGGAATAGTGATTCACAGCTCCTCCCCCGTAGGTGATAGCGTGATAATATGTAGCCTATATGTTGACCCGACCTATTAGTAATATTCATGCAAAATTTGAAGCAAATTCATGTTGTACTTTTTGAGTTTAGCCCGAACATACATGCAGACAAACAGACAAAAATTCTATAAACAATATTTTTAGCTTTGGTGCCGTTCTTTTAACAAGCATTCTTTTAACAAATAATCAATTAACAGTTTACACTTTCCTATGATTTTATTATATGTATAGATATTTTAATAAATTATCAGCATTATGTTTACACATGCATAGTTATTTCATTTTAATTGGTACAAAACCGACTAATTCATGAACGTTTCTCAGCGCCAACCACGCAGTCACGGTTACACCATTTAACAAGATCATTAAGGAATAAATGAAAGAGTAAAAAAAAAACATTTATTGAATTTCACTTTTTTTTTCACCGACAAGTAATAGCCGTGGCCACCCTCCGTACTTTTGCATTTCTCTTTTACTTATTTAAATAAACAGCTGGCGGCCGTCTCGTCTTTCGACACCAATTTCAATGCTTGAAGCCTGTTTTCAGGTCGATAAAGATGTACTTGCCTTTTGAATAATATGCTCAATCTAATTAGCAAGCTTTGATGTGAAAACGCGAACGGAAAAGGGGACTGTTCTGTTTGGTGTTGAAAGAAAAAAGTAAAAAAGCAATATCGTCGTCGTACCTTAACATTATGACGCTAAGGATATACCTATTAATGAAACAAATACATTAAAAAAATGTAATACGGTTATCCTAAGGTAATGTGATTGACTGCAGCACTGAGTCCTGCTGTATGAAAGTATAAAGGTACTTTTTAATTATGATTATTAAAAGTATAAAAATACTTTACACTGTCTAGTATATGTTGTGTATATCGAAACTTATTATTATAAGACACTTATGGCTTTCCACCAACCACCCCCAAACCAGTAATTAACTAAAAGTTTTTACTGTTAGGTGTCACTTATAGGTTGGTGAAAACCAAAGGGACGTTAAATGTCACCTATTTTAAAGTAGGGTTTTCTTAAGAACTTAGAAGAGGTTGGTAAAAATGGGTATTACTTCTCTGTTTCCTAATCTCTATTTTTTTAATTCGGATAACACATCTATAGCGGGTTTTTCTTTTAAATTGTTTAAACT